GTCTTTCGTTTTTGCATATAGGCCACGATAAAGTGATTAGCTGCTGTATCCGTCCCATACATATGGCTTTCCAATTGTTGCTTCATCAAATAATTGGCCAACACACGGACTGCCCGTGCGAAGATGCGTTTTTTGCATAGTTCCCCGCAGTTTTTGTCGCTGCCGCTACCAGCTTTTCCCGCAAATGTTTCTAGCTAAACAAATTAAGACTGGCCGCCAGAACTGTCAGGAAATACCCCCTTAAAATTTCAGTTTTCTAGCTTTCCTAACTCCTGAGTTAGCAACTTACTCGAAAAAAACTTTGGCGGGCGTGCGTGGGTACCACGCTTACCCAAAGGCTGGGTTTCAGCTCATCGACACGTAACTGGACGGGGGACATCCCTTTAACATTTCAGCTTTTTAGCTTTTCAGATCCCTGAGTTATGAACTTACCCGTAAGAAACCTTGGCGGGCTCTTACGTGGGTACCACGTGGATAAGACAGCTCGTTTTGGGGCTGGGGTCCCGTACGTGCATGTAGATTAAGATCCCAAAGTTTCAGCCCTGTAGCTTTTGTAGGTCTCGAAATGAAAAATCGATACAGAGGTCCAGCGCACACACACACACATATACACAGACAACCTCTCGTCAGTATGCGTTTTCCGCATTGCATAGCTGCAAAAAACGCACAAAAATATCCTCGTGGTTATCACTAACTACTCATTGAGAGGGAATGACGATAGGCCAAGCAGTGTATGTGAAGATTTTGTGTTTTCTGTAAAACTAAGCAGTGCATTTGCTGGTAGTTTTTCACTTTCCTTGAATGGTGGGCATTTCGGGATCAGCTAGAGAAGGGATGAACTGAAAATGCGTGACTGAAGACTCTTCAGCTCTTTGGAAAAATTTAAATGTTTTGAGGTAATGGTCAGATGAGGAATGTTTTGAACGATCATACTGGCGACGAGTAAAGCCCTGAACGTTGCTGTGCTTGGACATGTGGACTGTGGGAAGACAACGTTGGCGAAGGCGCTATCCTCGATGGGCTCGACCGCGGCGTTCGATAAGCATGCCAAAAGTGCTCATTTGCGGGCAAATACAATCGATCTTGGATATTCGACGCTTCGGCTCGAAGACACTACAATTGCGCTGATCGACTGTCCTGGACATGCCTCGCTTATAAGGTTGGCCCGCTTTTATAGGATTATTTATTCGTTAAAAAGATTTCGGGCCTGACAGATTAATTGCTCGTTGTTGGGGATGGGTACTTATCTCTCCACCTTCATTAGAGCGCGGAGCCCGTTCACGAGGGTCGCTGGCGAGGGAGTTATCATCATTCGCAGGTTGCGGGTGTCCCGGTCTAAGGTTCGGGAAGTTATTTTTAGACCTAACTGCCTGAAAACGCTTCAACCTCCCTCAGTTTGTGCTTGTCGGCTTATGCTTCTACGATTTCATAAGTTCTTTAATCGTCGTTGAATTCCTGTGTTACTGGGCCCTCCAGTGTTAATTCAGGCCAAGTATTTTAAATGTGACCATATGCCCGGCATTTGTATCGGAATTTTGATGAAGTTAGCTATAAATTTGGATTTCAAAAACACACATACACAATTGGATAATTGACTCAAATCCATCTGATCTGTAAGAAGTGGACAAATTTGGAAAGTGCTGCAGAAGATAATGATTTAAATTGAGGCTACAACTGTTGTACTGACGAGAGACAGTTTGTGCTCAACATGGATTTATACAGCTTCAGCGACTAAAACAGTTTAATTTCAGTTTGACACTGGTTTCTTAAGTTTCAATGAAGTACACCTTTAAACCACTGCAGATCGGTGCTGGCAGCTTCATCAGTATTTGACATGGCAATTGTTGTAGTTAATGCTAGCAAAGGCATCGAACAACAAACTGCCGAGCATCTCCTCATCGTATCGCTCCTGTGTCCCAAGCACGTCATTCTTGTCATCAATAAGGTTAATAATTCAAATCTTAGAAATTTAAGTTTCCCATTACCAAATGAATGCTCCGATTTTGGAGAGGATAACTGTCGCGCACAGACGGGATTCATGTTTGTTTCACTTCTAAACTCTAGAGTTTTTTTTTTTTTTTCATTCAAAAACTAGATATCGGACGATATAAAGGATTTGCACGGCTTTCTGGACCGAAAAATTCCTTTTCAGCATTCACAGTCGTAATTTTCGCAAAAAATCAACTTCCTTTTTTAGAATTTTCACTTATTTCCTTTGTAACTTCTTTTCTAATTTACCTGAAAAGAAAAAACATTTATAATGTTTCATCATTCCTTCTACAATACGTCGTTCTTTTTCAAAGATTGGAAAGCATAATTCGTATTTGTTTTATAGCTTTGCGCGTCGGTATTTCTTTGTTTTGCTCCTTCCCTCTTCCTGCGCATTCTCTGTGATTCTGAACTCCCCGCATTTGCATAACCTGATATGAGCTATAGCTAGACATAGAAGCGCATTTTTGAAAAATATAATTTTAAATTTTTGAAAATTGGATTTAAAACGTACTGGAATGGCAAAAATATTCGTATCCGACCTTTTTTTTTTGTTTTAGATTGATTTAATAGACGAAGAAACGCTGGAGCAGTTGACGAGGCGTTGCAAGAAGGCAATGTCCAGCTTGAAAATAAGCGATCCAGTGCCTGTTGTTTCCATTTCATTAAAAGAAGGCAAGGAACAAGCGGTTGAAGCTGTACTGAGAGCTCTGCGACTTGCGCTTTATGCGCCTCAGCGATGTTCTTCAGGACGTTTCGTCATGTTTGTTGACCACTGTTTCCCGGTGAAAGGTAAAGGCGCCGTAATGACTGGCACTGTAGTCGATGGGGCATGCAGGTGAATAGCAAATGTTGAACGCATTTTTTTACTTTAATTTGTCTGATTCCAATGGTCCGGGTGGCGTGGGGCCTAAAACTGGCAACACTGAACTTAATTTGCCCCAGGATCTCTCACTATTTTCTTAGTACAGCATTTCTCGCCTAGTTTTCGGCTTCTGACTTCTCAGTCTCGGCTTACTTTTTTGCGTTTTCTGTCACGTCATCTCAGCACTCCAAAAATGCTTTTTTATTACAAAAAAAGAGGACAGTTACCTTATTTTTTACACCTACCATTGAATTTGTGCGTTTTTTCAAAAATTAAATTTTAAGTGCTACATGGGCTAGGTTTTGACCTGATGTGTTCTGGTGTTTTTGGTTGATTCTGCATTTTTACAGTAAAACTTGCTCGCACTGATTTTGTGACGATGCTTG